GGTAAGACAAGGTCATCGCAACCATTGTCTGGGTTCGGGAGTCGGTTACGCAAGGGGAAGGTATTAGCACCCCTCACGTCCGTCGTACTCGACGGGATCCTCGCTTGTTTGTTTACTTGGACGGGTTGGTTATAATCTATCTACCTATCAAGGTTGGCTGAAAAAGAAAAGAAAAATGATTCGGCAAAGCGTCGCACTTTATGCCTACGTATTCTCATCAGAGAATGAGAAATCAGAGTCAACGTAGTTCGGCCTACGAAGGACTACGGGGGGAAGGTTGAAGGTTGCTCGCTAGGACGTCGCATCCTATGCCTACGTACTTTCATCTGGTATGAAAGATCAGAGCAAACGTAGTTCGGGAAACTACGGATTATCTCCTAAAAGAAGTGTTTTTTATTGTGTTTGCGATCTCAACCGCACTAGAGACTATGACCTGAGAGTGAATGCGTCGCATGTCACCCAAAGGGTACCATACTAAACATCCAGACCATGGAAAAGAAACTCTCCCACAATCCTTTCTCGGATAGCTTAAGGCTCGTAATGTACGAAGGAGATCATTCATGATTACTGTATCTTAAACTGCTTCGAGATGAGAAGAGAACAGGCCCAACTAGGAGGGAGACTATCAAGTCCTACTGTTGTCATGCCATGGATTCATCCTATGGTTGAGGTTTAAACAGGGAACTCCTAGATGTTGTCATGCATAGGTTTCAACCTAAAAGTCTATCATCAAATCCTCATCAGAGGAAATGAGAGTCCTAAGGGATCATGTCAATGATACACCAAAACAGACAAAAGCATCAGCTTTTAACAGTAAAATGCATGCAATGCAAGTGAGGGAGGAAATGTGTGTGGGGCTTCAGCCTCCACAAGCTCGTCTCAACCTCAAGCCAGTCATGAAATAATAGTAATCATACTGAAATAAACAACATGCTATCAAGCAAAAAACAGTAAACTGTAATCATACAGACAGAAAATGAAATCATGCTATCAAGCAAAATAAACACATGGGCAAGGGAGCTGGGCTCTACCGAATACCCGCAAGCAAAGCCAAGCAATAACAATACAATCAGATGCACTCATGCTCTTAGACTGAACTTAGTCTAGATGGGCTTAGTCTAATGCAGCAGACAAATCAGACAAAACACACAATACATCAAAGAAAACAGAAGAAAGCCTCAGCTCCTCCAGCAGCAACCCAGTCTTCAGACTTCAGAGATCACTTGCTTTCCAGGCATCAACCCTACAACATGAGTATCAACTCATCTTCTCCCCTGAGCTTCAGCTCCTTTGATCAGCTCCACCTTCAGGCTTCACTATCTCCAGGGATCTTCAGGCATCAACTTGATCTTCACAAAGTCTTCAGACTTCAATAATCTTCAAGGAATCATCCTCTTCAAAGCTTCAGCTTCTATCTTCAATGGCTCAACTGCTCCAGCAAACAAGATTCAGTCAACAAGATGAGGTGAGGATGTTACAGTACTCACTGACTTCCAAAGGATGCCATTGAGGACTTAACATCAAAGGAAAGGCTCTCTCAAAGTTCTACCTTATAGGGCAAGGTCACTAATCCCTCCAAAGGAGAGAGGTGAATACCCTTAAGGGACTCTGTGTCATAGAGAAGAAAGGAGGTGGACAAGACACTCCTTGTTTAGTGAATGAAATCATTCTATCTAATGCTCTACCTATGCACTTATGATCCTATAAACAAAACAACAAAAGCTATTCAAACTCCTCTGCAAGGTCTTCAAAGCTTCCATGATGATCCACAAGGTCTTCAACTCAATCTTCAAAGCTCACACACTCAAAAGAGGAGGAAAGAAAACACAACAATACAACTTATGCCTTTAAGCAACACACATACTATCCATACATTCAAAAATCAATGAAAAATACTAAAACACCATACAATATTCTAGCAAATTTCTAGGGGATTCTATACATACTTACCCTTAACCCATGTATTCCCCATACACTAATTTGGCCTATAAACCCCAAAACAAATTTGTTCAAGTCTACCTATACAACCTAAAACCCTAATTAGAACACCTAAATGTCTAACAATCAAACTACATCAAATTTTAATCTACAAATCAAGAGATAAATCCTACATGAAACTAGAGTTCAATACCTAACTATGCCAAAAAGAATGGCTCAAAAACCCTAAGGGAAAGTCCTAAAACAAATTGTACAAAATCAAAGGTTAACCAAAATCAATTAAATGTACTATTTACAAGAAAATATGCTAAAAAATATTAAACTAAAAATAAAATGGAATTTTATTTTTTATTAATTTTCTAGACAAAATCATGATTATGTGAAAAAAAGAAGAAATGAAAAATATTGATTTTTATATTTTTTATGAATTTTATAAAATGCAAAGAATTAAAAGAAATTAAAAAAATAAAAGAATAAGAAATAAATGGGAGGGGGTGAGAAAAGTAAAGCGCCACAGTTATTTCTGATCATTGGGCCAAGTCTGGGGGTGGGAATAGAAGTAAATTGCTGAGCCCAGTTCCACTATTGAACTAAAACGGTGCGTTTGGTTAAATGGTACGCTGCGTTTTGATGCTTCAGTCTTCCCTCCATTTCTGAAATCAAATATGGGCCGTGCGATGGATTGAATTGGTCAAGCCTTCTGGACGATCCAACGATGGTCCTTCATCGTCCCCAACTCAACCCTAGGGTTTGCAGAAACCCTAACCCCATGCAAGGATCTTTAACCTGATCGTATTCATCCGTTTCCCCATGAAATTCCACGATTCCAAAAGCAAAGTTGTGCTATGAATCACCAAGAACACGATGCCATCTATAGTTTTCCTTGAAACTCCTTAAATCATCCTAACAGAAAGCTGCATCATCATGGTTTCAATTCTTTCCTCTGCTATCAAACTTAATAGAACTTCAAACGAATGATCCAGAATTATTCTACATGTCTCCCTAACCAAATTACTCAATACCATATCCATTAATGCCCACAAACTAGCTCGTTATTCATTCTGCAAGAAATTGTACCCTGCCTCGAAACCTCACGATCCTTCCCCTAATTCTCAGAAAATGGTCCTCTATCCTAGCTTAGCCAGTCTAAACCTACAACTATGGTGGAATGCACATAAATTAGGAGATACGAGCAAGATTACCAACCTGTCAAACTTTAATGGAGGCTATGGTTTCCCTACAATTCAAGGTCTGCAAGCTTCCCTGATTGATCCTCAATGGCCAATATGAATTCTGTATGCAGCAAGATGAATGAACAAGGCTTGAATCTTGTGTTTGATATCAAAATGCACTTCTTGCAATTTCCTCAAAACAACTTCAAACTTCCATGGATCTTCTTCTACCTCAGCATGTAATCAATCACAATGATCAGAAGAATATGTTTGTGGTGGAGAAATGAATGGAGATTGAAGAGAATGAAGGTTTGATGTGAAATTGCAAATGGAAGAATCTTCACTTTTCACACTCTAATCTCACCTCTCATCAACAATGATCACCAACCCTGGCCACATTGAGTTTCACCTTTCTTATAGCAATCCATGGAATGATCTAGATACACCTAGAAGCTTGTGGAAAGTGTTAGAAAGTTTTAGAACTTCTCATGGAATGATACATTGGACATCCATTATCTCCTGCCTTAGCCTTGCCAAATGGACTTTAAAATCTCCTTACAAGAGATATTGAGAAAGAATGAGTGAAAAACAAGCTAAACTTTGCTTTTTGTGAAGTTTTGTTTAGGTGCCTTATTATGCAAGCATGAGAATTACAAAGTAACCCCCATTTCTAAGCTTCAAATCAAAATTCTACTTGAACCATTGTTTTTAAAATGATGTTTGGAGTCAAAATGACATATTGGATGACCCCATTTGGATTTGTACATCTCCCAAACCAAAATTAAATTTCAACTTTTTCAACTTATAAGCCATTTTTAGGTCATTTTCACCCAATCTTGTAACTCCTTGCTACAAGCTCTTTCCATAACTCATGACCACTTTTCTAGACTTAAAATCCCATTTTGAACAACTTTCATGTTTTGAGTTTTTCCATTTGAGGCTTGGAAATAGGAGATATGGCCTTTGCTTAAAATGACCTATAATCACCAAATGACCAAAATACCCCTGTCTTGTTCAAACCATAAGTTGAGTTCTACAAATCCTATCAAGGACTTCTAGTACTCTCTAGAAAGCTAAGAAGATGCTCCTCAATATTCATGTTGACCAAGAAATCATAGGAATCATCCTACTAGGGCAAACGTTGTCTGCAAGTTGGGTGACTTTCAAGGACCCAGATTCACACACCTCAGCTGACCTGTAATTTGTCAAAACCATAACTTGAGCTCTGCAACTCCTATCAAGGACTTCCACCACTAAAATTAAAGCTAAGATCAAGCTCTACAACATTCATGTTATGGGGAAGATGAGATATCAATCACATCTAGAGCTAAAACTGCCTGGAAGATAGGGATCAAATTAGGGTTTTTCACTGACAATCCTCAGAAACCCTAACTCAAAACTTCTCAAACTCTTCAATCATGATGAGTTGTTCTAGGAATCATCTTTACAACACCTCTATGCATCATTCCATGATCTCATGGCCCTTGGATTAAGTCTCAACCTTCTCCAAATTTTCAGTTATCCTAGGGTTGACCCAGTCAAAACCCTAATTCTACCATTCATGGTTGAATCTTCTGAATTCTTGCTCAATGACCTCTCTAGGCTTTATGATGGCTATCAAGACATCTCATAGGCTTTCTCAAAACATCAAGTTCATTCTCAAAGTCTCAGAATCATCTGAGGAGCACCCACAACTCTCAAGCTATGAAGCACACAACCTTGGTTTCAACCCACTCCTCTGAGGATCTCTTGAACTTTCTGATGAAGGTATCAACTTTCAAACACTCAATGAATAAATAATTGTTGGTCAAATTTTGGGGTGCAACAACAGGTACTGAAAATGTACACAAACGGTTTAGAAAACCTATCTTCAAATTTTACAATTGTATTATGGAATTTGAAGGATATGATGCACTGGTAGAGAATAATTGGAATGTCCCAATCACAGGAAATCCAATGTTTATCTTGTGGAATAAGTTTATGCGATTACAACCGGCTCTGTGTAATTTCAGTAAACCAGCCCGGCATAATGACCAGCAGCTTATTCAAGCCAGAAATCGATTAAACACGGCGCAAACCTCCCTTGAAGCCAACCTAATGAATGCTACGATATTAACTCGAATTAAGGAGCAGAAAGTAGAGATTATAAAATTGAAAGAACTAGAGGAAAATATACTGAGACAGAAATCAAAACTTGATTGGATAAAGTGGGGTGATGGCAACAACTCGTATTTCCACGCATCCGTAAAGGCCAAAAATAATTCTAAGAATATGTCACATCTCACCAAAGAAGATGGCACTATACTGACAGTGCAGACTGATATTGAAGATGAAGTTTTGGATTATTATAAGAACTTGTTAGGCACTGCTGATAGCGCAGTTCGTCACATTGATGTCACCACCATGAGAGATGGACCATAGCTGAACATGGAACAACGACGGTCCCTCTTGGCACCTATAACAGAGAAGGAAATTCACACGGCCATTAAAGGTATTGGGGACTTGAAATCACCGGGAATTGATGGTTACGGAGCCCGTTTCTTCAAAGGTAGCTGGGAAACCATTAAATCCGATGTGGTAAATGCAGTACAAGATTTTTTCCGCCATGAACGCCTATTTAAAGCCTTTAACGGTACTATGGTGACGCTTATTCCGAAACACTGTAACGCTCAATCCATTAAAGATTATAGGCCAATAGCAGGGTGTACCACTGTCTATAAAATAATATAAATAATACTTACTACAAGATTGGGTAAAGTTATTGGCTATGTTGTCCACCATTCGCAAGCTGCTTTTGTACCGGGCCAACAGATCCATAATCATGTCCTATTAGCGTATGAACTGATTAAGGGGGTATACTAGAAAAGGAGGCACCCCACGATGTATACTTCAAATTGATCTTCAAAAAGCTTATGATATGGTAAACTGGGATGCTCTGGAGTGTATTATGAAGGAAATTGGAATTCCAACCCAATTTGTTAGATGGATAATGATTATTGTCACTTATGTTACTTATAAATTCAACATCAACGGGTATCATACAAAAACTATCCAAGCGAAGCGGGGTCTCAGGCAAGGGGACCATATCTCCCCCTATTATTTGTTATTATAATGGAATATCTCAACAGATGCTTTCGTAAAATGTAGAAGAATCCCAATTTCAACCATCACGCTAAGTGTGAGAGGTTACATATTACTAATCTCTCTTTTGTAGATGATTTACTTCTTTTTTCTAGAGGAGATTGCATGTCGGTAGAGTTGATAATGGAGGGTTTTAAAGTTTTCTCTGATTCCACTGGCCTCAAATTAAACTCAGCAAAATGAAAAATTTATTTTGGTGGGGTGGACGCGGATACAAAGCAGAACATCATTAACATTACTAATTTCCCGGAGGGTCCTTTTCCCTTCAGGTATTTAGGGGTCCCTCTAACCTCTAAAAAATTATCTATCCATCATTATATCTCGTTGATTGATAAGATTATGAGTCGAGTTAATCTCTGGAGTGCTAAACTCCTAAGTTATGCAGGGCGTGCCCAGCTTATAAAAAGTGTTACTTTTTCCATTGCAAACTATTGGATGCAATGCTTTCCTATTCCTAGATCTGTTATTCATAAAATTGAAGCTATGTGTAGATCTTTCACGTGGACAGGTGGAGCTGATATTAGTAGGAAGAGCCCTATTGCTTGGGGCAATGTTTGTAGACCTCTGAATTATGGAGGTCTGGGTATCATTGATCTTAAGATCTGGAATAAGATTACCATGGTTAAGCTGCTCTAGAACCTTAGTAATAAAACTGATAGCTTGTGGGTAAAATGGGTTCATAGTTATTATTTAAAGCATGAGAAACTGATGAATGTCAGTATCAAACCCCACACCTCATGGATTATGAGGACCATCTTAAAACAGAGGGATAGATTGGTGGATATTCAATAGGTATGGGATCGTATGTTAACTAGCAACAAGTTTAGGATGAATGATGTTTATATGGTAATCTGTGGTAGTGCCCCAAAAGTAATATGGAAGAACATACTCTGAAGTAATGCTGCTCGACCAAGGGCTTTGATTACTATGTGGTTTGCGTGTCATGGAAGATTGATTACAAAATAATACCTTTTCCGATTTGGTATGATTACTGATGATAAATGTTGTCTATGTTCTAAAGAGGAGGAATCTATTAATCATCTTTTATTATGTTGTCCTGAAACGGTGTGTATCTGGACCAAAATCCTAGATTGGATCCAGATTTCGCATGTCCCGTGATTGTGGGATGAAGAAATGGTTTGGGTGTGCAAGAGTTCAAGCGGTAAGGGTTGGCGAGTGTCCCTCCTGAAACTAGCTATAACGGAATCTGTTTATGGTGTGTGGAAATACCGTAATGACATTTGTTACGGTAATGTTATAGATAAGACTAAAATAGGTGATAATATTATATATATATATATATATATATATATATATATATATATATATATATATATATATATATATATATATATATATATATATATATATATATATATATATATATATATATATATATATATATATATATATATATATATATATATATATATATATATATATATATATATATATATATATATATATATATATATATATATATATATATATATATATATATATATATATATATATATATATATATATATATATATATATATATATATATATATATATATATATATATATATGATTGTTTATAGGGGGTGGTATAACCAGAAACTTAGGCCACACATTGCTTACTTGATGACTTATTAGTGTTCTTTGTACTTTTCTTTTGGTCTTTGTGTCTTTTCTGAGGGCAGAATCCTCGCAATCGCCTTGTACTTGTATTGTTTTTTGAATTAATTCAATCTTCCTTTGATTCAAATAAATAAATAATATAATAGTAATAAAAGAGAGATAAGAGTAAATGAGAAAGACACAAAAGGTTTTAACTAGATTTGAAGTTGGGATCTTATTCTAATAAGAATAGTAATAATTGATGTTAATAATAATATAATGGTAATAAAAGAGAGATAAGAGTAAATGAGAAAGACACAAAAGGTTCTAACTAGATTTGAACTTGGGATCTCATGCTTACAACTTTCTATATGTAAGTCTCTACTAAATGGGCTATTCTGCTTATTCAAAATCAAATTTAGGGTTAAATATGTTTGTGGTCTTTTAAAATATCTTAAATTTCGTTTTTAGTCCCTTAAAATATTTTTTTTCAAAGAATGGTCCTCCTAAAATTTTTCCCTGCACTTTTAGTCCTTAATATTAAAACCGTCACTAAAACTATCGCTAAGTTAAAAGCCGTCGCTAATTATGTCGCTAAGTTGTAAAAACAGTTGCTAAGTTGCAAGAGAGATCAAAAATGTGGATTAAAAGTTTTAGAAGGATCATTCTTTAAAGGAAACATTTTGAGGGACTAAAAAAGAAATTGAAATATTTATGAGAACTATAAACATATTTAACCATAAAATATAATTAAAAAAGATAATATTGCTAATATGAGTTTGATTTTTATATTTTTTATTTAATTTAATAATGTAAATTGATAATTTTGATCTATTACTTAATTGATAAAATAAAACCCTTTGAATAATAATATTCTAATAAAATAATCCTTAATGTCTAATAACAATCCTAATTTAATAATAAAACTTGAATAATAAAACCTAATTAAATAGTACTAATGTATTGAATTAGTTATATGAATTATACTAATAATAAGCATTATCGTAGTAATATCCCTACAATCTATTGAATAATCAATGTTTATACCACTATAAATAGATAATTCAACAATGTCATTTTCAACTAGCTAACCCTAAATAATATCTAAGATCAACTCTTGAAAAAAAAGTCAGAACGATCCCTTTTGACTTTTTAGGTCATTGGGGACGTTTAGATGACTGATAATTTCTAATCCTATTAGTAATCTAATGTCATAAGTTAGGAATAAAGGTGGTAAAAATTAGGGGTATGACACTAGGCATCTCAATTTTCGAGATCTCAAAGCGTTGCAACAAAACAATATGGTTACCGGGATGTCACACATCAATATTCCAGCTGAGTTGTATGAAGAATGTGTTAAAGAAAAGCAACACAAGGTTAGTTTTAGCAAGGATGTGGGTCATTGGACCAACAATCACCTTGAGGTGGTGTATTCCAATGTATGCAGGCCAATGCAAGTTGACACGTTGGGTGGCAATAGATAATTTGTCACTTTTATCGATTATTTTAGTAGAAAGCTATGGAATTACCTTATCAAGAGGGAGGATGAGGTGCTTGATGTGTTCAAGAAGTTTAAGTCCTTAGTGGAGCGTCAATGTGGTCAAAAACTCAAAGTGCTCAAAACTAACGGTGGAGATGAATACATTTCGAACGTTATTGGGAAATTTTATGACCAAGAGGGGATAGTGCATGAGGTGGTGCCACCCTATACACCACAAAAAAATGGCGTTGCTGAGAGAAAGAATCAATCGATTATGAACATGGTTCAAAACATGTTGAGTGGAAAGAACTTGCCGAAGGAGTTTTTGGTAAAAACAGTTTCTACGGCCACCTATTTGTTGAATAGGTGTACTACTAAGAAGCTTTAGAAGATGACATAGGAAGTGGTATGGTCTGGATTCAAATCAAATCTGAGCCACTTGAGAGTTTTCGGTTCGCTGGCGTATAGACATCTGTTGGGTCATCTTAGAAATAAGTTGGATGACAAGGGTAAGGAGAAAATATCAGTTGGTATCATTGTACTGGTGGATATAAGTTGTTTGATGAACGAAATCGGAAAACAGTGATTAGTCGCGATGTAATTTCTAATGAAATAAGACCTGCTGGCCCTAGTGTAACCGGTTACACTCGGCCAATTCATCTTGGTGTAACCGATTACATGCAGGAAAAACAGCCTCCCAGGTTTGGTTTTTCTGATCAAGTTAGTTCCGAAACAGCCGTGTAGTCACCGATTAAGGACCGAAATGAAGAGAATATTAGACGATCAACAAGGAAAAGGGTGTTGCCTCGAAGACTCCAAGAATGTGAGAGATTCTAAGACAACGAAATCAATGATGATGGTGATTTCGTCCACTTTGAGATTATGGTTATTGTCTAGCAATCGAAGTAGATATGTCCCTTTATGGATTCCCATTCTTAATTCGGTTCACAACATCGTGGTTCTGATTCTTTAATGGTTTTCCCGTAGGCTTCAGAACCACACGAAATCTCTTTTTGTTGTTAGAAACAACTAATACTTCATCCTTCTGATCTTATCTTCTAGATGCCTATTTAATTCGGAGGCGAGTGATCATACTCTCAATTGAAAACTCTTTTGTTTTATTTTGAAGTATATTTTTGAAATCTTTCCAACCAGGGGGCAGTTTGTCAATTATCACAGGAAATTGAAATCGTTCATC